GCAATAATCAATAGGTACCTACCGAACCTTCCTATAACTAACCATTCTTTATAAATATACTTTAAATGCCTGAAAAATTCAAATTTTTAGTAAATAATTCTAATCTCGGCAAGGTGGCACATGCCTGTTATCTCAGCTCTTTGGAGCCCAAGGCAGGAGGATGGCAAGTTTAAAATCAGCCTGGGTGACTTAATGGCTTGGTGAGACTAAGTCTCAAAAATAAAAATTAAAGGGCTAGGCATATAACTCTGTGCTAATGCCCTAAGTTCAATCCTTAGTACCTCAAGGTAAATAAACAAATAAGTTATTAAATAAATAAATGTATTTTTTTCTCGTGGAACTTAGCCTTAACTTGAAATTTAACAATTATATTTCAGAGTTTTGAAATATGACTGGCACACCTACAGTTTTCAGGCATAGAAAGAATGCCTATCATACCTGTTCTTTTATATCAGGTTTGAAATAAGATTGCCATTCCTATTCTTTCATACCAGGTTTGGCATTGTAAATAATTAATATTCAGTTGATTTTACATACCAGCATAAGTATGCAGGAGGTGCTAGTATATGGTCAAGAGAATTGCAGTTTAAGCTTTATGTTTCAACAGAACAGTGTAATAAAATAAATGAATGCATTAATAACTGAAATATGTAAAATCCAGGGGAATGTCTCCTACCTGATCCAAAAGCTCTAAATTAAGGAGATTTTAAAAGAATACAGTTCCATTTTTCTGTAAAGCTGGTGCATATGACTTGTATAAATCCTGTGGTTTCTTTTGAACCAGGATATGAACAGGATCATTTTCAGAGGAATCACAAATCCAGCCCAGAGACATAGAAGTACAGTATTAGGTATTCGAGATAAAGAATGTAGCAAAATATTTTACTTTACATGCTACATGCTAAGTATTTCAATCAATATATATTTATTGTTTACAGGACTGGAAAAAGTTGTCTCTTCCCTCAGGAGAAGAACGTAAGCTCTAAAGTGGGGACTTCTACCAAAATTTAATACTCTTTAAGGCTCTTGTCTATTCAGAAACATTTATTCTCATAACTGCTGCTAATTCTCTCCATATTCTCTCATGAGATTTCATTACCAGGAAGCTGCATACTCCACTGCCCCAGTCCCTCCCCCATCCCATTTTTGGACCACACAGCATTGTTTTCCAGCTAAAAGGAATGTGTTTCCTTTACAGCCAGTGGCTTTGTTGGGCAATAGTAGTACGGCTGAGACCATGGGACTGCTGTCTATACACATGATGCCTATGAAAACCATCTTCATGAGCTCTATTTCTCTCACAAGAAATGTTGCTGCCCAATATTTTCTGAAATAAATTCTTTACCTATTCAGCACATTTACTGAAATATATAAACTCATATTAAAATTTTCAGCTAATGTTTTTATTATCCACAATAGTGTCATATACAGATTTCATTTGTAATTCACAAAACTTTTTGCTGAACCAAAATAATAAATATCAGTGATACTGTGAAAACAACTCAAAGGCCAAGCCTACTTAGTTATAAAATAATTTTATAACAAAGCATATTAAACTATTCATTTCTGCCTTTTTGAATTTACTAAATCTATCACCATAAGTGAGACAAGGAAATTGGCCCATTACATATTATTTATTTATATTTCTGCTTTCTTTTTCCACTCTACCCTTCCTCAAAGATAAATATTAGAGGCAAGAAGTTACAAATAAGGCACAGGTGCAGCTGAAGCCTTGTGGGAACCAGACTACCAAAGTCAATCCCTGGTGCTCTGTGAGAGGTTTTACCTAACTTCACCATGCCTTATTTTCCAGCTCTCTTACAGTACCTGCCCTACATAGCTTTTTACAAATTAAATGGATTAATTTCTATAAACTCTCTATGAACATGTTTAGGAAGAAATTTTAATTTAAAGATGGTCAGATTCTTTTTTTTTTTTTTGGTACTGAGGATTGAACTCAGGACCTTGCATTCCTTCACTTACAAGGCAGGTACAGTGCCACTGAGCTAAATCCCTGGCCCCAAAATGGTCAGATGCTGATACAATTTTTGATCATAAAATAGTAATCAGCTTTGGGTCCCTTGGCTCCCTTGGGTCCCTTAGACTTTCTCAAGTATCATTGTAGACCTCAGAAATATCTTTTAAAGGTTAAAAGAATACATGTTATATCTACTGAAATTCTGTCATAAGAGTCTAGTTAAACCCTAAAAAAATAAGATCTGAGAAAGAGTAGGATCCATTTTTCTGAGTAATCCAGTCAAATCTGTTTGAAATATTTTTCCTTAGGAATATTTTCACTGAACTCACACTGAAAATTTGTGTTAATATTGATTTATTCTGTTACAGAATTCCAGTAACCCAAAAAAGTTAATGTTCCATCCAAAAGTCTTGAGCAAACTAAATGGAAACACATTGAATTTGCTACTTTTTAAACTTCTAATTTTCAGGTCTACTTGCCTAAAGATTGACAATATTTCTGTTTCTATTTATTTTGCCTCATTTGAAGAAAGAATAAAAAGTCACATATTTTCAAATTAGCAATGGATTAAAGTGTCTTGCAAAGGAAAGAATTGGATCCTTTTGAATATGAGGTAAAATTATATGCAATATCAACATACACCTGCTATTCTGTAATAATTTTTGGATTAGGGTTTCTTTTAAATTTATTAAGCCAATGTAAGTTAAAAATTTTGTTTTAATTAATGCATAATTAGCATTTTAAATATTAACAAATTAATTATATTTAATGTCATTGTAAAAAATATAATTTTCATATTTTCCTTTCATCTTTGCAACTTTTATAATAATATTTAATGCTGATATAATTATATATGATTTGGTTCTAAGCTGAAGGGCTCTTGGTAGAAAGAATATTTAAACAAAATCTTGGCAGAGGAGGAGGCTTCTGGGCTGACAACACCGCTCCCAGCACAGAGGAGGTGAACAGCAGCACTGCCCCCTGTCGAAGTGAGAAGACACATAAACAAGCCTCAAAACCAGACTTCCAGGTCACCTACAGCAACTCAAAAGGGAAACGAGATGGAACACTCTGATACTCAACCACCTGGACTCCCTGAACTGGCAACAAAAGAGTGTCTGGAAAAAATGAAATCAGAAATAATTCCTCAGATAACAGCAGAAATTAAGCCCATAGTGCAAGACATGATTAATAAATGTAGAGAGGACGCAGATTAAAAAAATAGAGGAGCTGAGGTACATGATGGAATCCCAACATAGGAAACAAATGGAATCCGTAAAACAGATGCAAACAGATTTCCAGGAGATTAAAAACTCCATTGAAAGTCTACACAGCAGAATGAGCCAATGTGAGGACAGAATTTCAGATATAGAAGATAAAATTGCAATTAGTGACCAGGAAAAGAAAAATTGCTTTAAAATTGTAAGGGACCATGAGAAATCAATCCAGCTGCTGCTAGACAATTCAAAGAAAAATAATATAAGACTGATTGGAGTCAATGAAGAAATAGGAGAGAGTGCAGATGACATTAAAAAACTGTTCACAGAGGTCATGGCAGAAAATTTCCCAAGTAGGGGAAAAGAACTTCACATACAGGTAGGTGAGGCATGTAGGACTCCAACTAACCGTGATCAAAAAAAATCTACACATAGGCATATAACAGTTTATATTCCAGAAACCCAACAGAAGAACAAAATTCTACAAGCAGTTAGAGAAAAGAAACAAATCACATACAAAGGAAAGCCCATCAGAATCACAGCAGACTTCTCAACACAAACCCTCAAGGCAAGAAGAGCTTGGAGTGATGTATGCCAACCCCTAATGGAAAACAGCCTCCGACCCAGATTGATGTACCCTGCAAAACTATCTTTCAAAATTGATGGAGAAATAAGATACCTTCATGACAAAGAGCACCTTGGAAATTTCATGAATACCAAATGAGAACTCCAAAAAATTTTAGACAACATCCTAGGAAAACATGACAAGGATCACAACCCCAGAAAGCCCAGCAGAATGAATCCACCAGGTGCAACAAGAAATTAAACACAAAGGGGGAGAACCCAACAAAAAGAAAAGTCATGACAATGATAAGTCAATATGTATCAGTTATAACCATCATTATTAATGGTCTTAATTCACCAAACAAAAGAAATAGACTGGCAGAATGGGTCAAGAAGCAAGATCCAACAATGTACTGCATACAAGAAACTGACTTAATTCAAAAAGAAACTCATAGACTGAAAGTTAAAGGGTGGAAAACAATACTCCATGCAACAGGAACCCCCCTAAAAAGGAGGAGTAGCTATCCTCTTTGCAGATCATGGTTTTCAAACCAACACTGATTAAGAGAGACAAAGAAGGACACTACATCCTCGTAAAGGGAACAATCCAAGAGGAAGAAATGACAATCATAAATATATATGCACCAATGTGGAAATTAGTATGGAGATACCTCAAAGAACTAGGACTGAAAGTCCCATTTGACCCAGCTATTTCCCTGCCGGGTGTCTTCCCCTAAAGAATTAAAGGAATCATACCACAGTGATATATATGTGCAACCATGTTCATAGCAGCACAATTTGTAATAGTTAAAACTTGCAAGCAGCTCAATTGCCCATCAACTGGAGACTGGATAAAGAAAATGTGATTTTTTTAAATAAAATGTAGTACTACTCAGCCATAAAAAATGAGAAATTAGAGACTTTTATAGCTAAATGGATGCACATTGAGGCGATACTCTTAAATGAAATAAATAGGACACAAGTGTAAATATCAAATAGTTTCTCTAGTATGAGCAATTTAAAATGTAAATAAGGACTAAAAGATATAGTAGATAATGTGAAATAGGAAGAAAAGGGGCAAAGGGGAAGGGGAATTGGGAGGGGTAAGGGAAAGGAAAGAAGGGAATGGAGTTAATATGAGAAAATGAAAAAATGGAAGCAAAGTATTTGTAAATAGGGAGGAATGGAGGAGTTGAAGGGAGGGCATGGGAAGGGGGAAAAATAAGAGCCAAGATCTATCATGTAAAGGTGCAAATTTCCAATGATGAATGTCATTATATTGTATATCTAAAAGGTACCAATAAAATTAAATTTAAAAACAAGACAGATAATAGGAAAAAAGTTACACTCCAGAATGGACAATTTATCTAAAAGTGTACCTTGATTTAGTTTAATTGTCTTATGTGTTTTATATGTTTTTGGCCTTTTAGTCTCCCTGATAATCTGTATGTATGATTGATAATTCTATTAGGACTTATAAGTAAATGAATCTAATGGTGGCAAAAACAAAAAAAGGGCAGTGGAGGGGAAGGCGAAAAAACGAGTTGAAATGTACTATGTACCAAATTCCCCACAATGAATATAATTATTATTATTTTTATTATTTTCATGGTTCTGTCAGCAATGAATATAATTATTATGTACTGTAAACATGTACTAATAAAAATAAAAAATGAAAAAACCCCAAAATATTACAAAATTTTTTGTGCTAAGAGAATAACCAGATACATAGTCAAGGATTGAAATAAAAGTAGATTTTGTAACATTAATCTTAATTTCAGAAAATATAATAGAATATTTTAAATAAATTGAGGTACAACTATTAGTTGGCTTCCTTACTTTGATGCTAATTTTGTTATAATATCCCCCCCCCATGCATACACACACAAGAGACCGACAAACCCACAAAAGTACAATGCTAACAAGTTAATAATGGTTGTTGTGGGCCACGCACAGTGGCCCACACCTATACTCTTAGCAGCTCAAGAGGCTGAGGCAGGAGGATCACAAGTTCAAAGGCAGCTTGGGCAACTTAATGAGACCCTGTTTCAAAAAAAAATTAAATGGTTGAGAATATAACTCAGGGCAAAGGCTCTGGGTTCAATCCCCAGTGCCACAAGCTGACAGACAAAAGTTGCTTCCAAAAAGTAGAGTCAAGGGTATAGCTTACATTTATCTTATCTGTAATCTTGTGCAGTGATTATTTTTCTGCATATAAAAATACTTCGATAATAAAAAAATATTATGTATGTGTAAGTTAATCTAAAATTTTCAACATTTGAATTTATTTGCAACAAATGAAGTAAAATAGCTATCATTTTCTGTGGATATGGGAAGAATAATATATTAGCCTTTTACTGCAAAGGCAAATAGATGTTTTTTAGGTAGAGCATATTTTCTTAATTAGGACTATTAGCATTGTCAACCAAGAATAAAATCAACTTGATTCAAAACAAAGATAATCACATTTATCTGGGGCTAATTAGGTTTGCAACCTAGGATGCACAAATTCAAGTAGACTTAAATTGTGTTCCCTAGGTCAAAGAAAATGACAGCTGTATTTAAAACCTAAAACCACAAAGGAGTTTGTAACTACAGCATTTATTAGTCAGGAATCATGATTGCTGTTGGCAAGAGTGAAGGTGAACTTATAAGAAAGGGACTGGGTATAGTCTGTTTCTGGGTAGTTTGAGAGGAGGGATCCTTCATACAGACGATCAGCATAGGTTGAGGATGTTTCAGATAACTGATTTGGCTCAGTCTTAAGGTCGCCTCACATGAGAGGAGCACATCTGCAGCCTAGTTCAAAGGTCAGATCTCATGAAACTTGACCCAACAATGTCCTCTTCTTTCAAGTGCCCTGAACCGACACTTTCATTTTATTTTTCTTCTTTGACAGCAAATTATTAAATGCACACAGCCTGGATCCCTGTTGTGGAATATGAGATTTACGAAGTTTGGACACTTGAGATACGTCAGCATTTACATTCACCAATAACTCCATCAAAGCTTTTTCATAAACAAATATTTTTTATGACATTAAATACTAGAGAAATGCAAAGTAAAACTATTTAATTTTCTATTTTGCAGGTGTCAGTAAACCAGACTTTAGTATAAACAAAGGAAGTATTTTTTCAAGAATAGGTGTCATGGTTTAGGCATCCAACCAAAAATCAACCCAAGGCGTGTTCTAGCAAGGTACGGGGCGGGTGGTGGTTGGGGAGTGGTGTTAAAAGTCAAGTGAAGAGGTGATCTGATCTCAACTTTGTTTGAAATCTTTTAGATTGGTTGATGGAAGGTGCTGGTGGAAGACTGCAGAATAGAGTTGTTTCCAGGCAGTCTGCAGGATGTTTTGTATTTGGCCAACTTGGGGAATAATAAAGTTGCCTAGTCAAGCACACATAGTCAGTTCACCTTCCAAAATGCAGAGACATAAGATACAGTGATTTTTTTAAAAAAATATTTTTATTGCTAAATTTTAGACATGTAATGATCGTATTTATCATAGGGCATCTGTACCTGTACATAATATATCCTGATACCCGCTCAGACAATCTCTATCTTGGCATACAAGGATGAACAACTGATTAGAACAACTATTTCACCTTGACTAAAGTAGTCCAATCAGTAATAACAGTAGGATCAAGCACAGCCTAGAAAATGTCACTGTGGTAACTATTAATTTGCCACCTTTAACCATATGAATAATATTTATAGTTATATAACAAAACAAACTAGAAAATTGTATACAGTTAATATCACCTCAATTGAGCAATTTTACCCTCTTGGGAGAAAATTTTAAAGGGATAAGAAAAAATAGAGAAATAGAAGAGAAAGAGATTAGAAGCAAAGTTGAGGGACAAAGGAAGATTAAGCTTTTGGAGACTGGTGATGAAGACGAGGAAAACGAAGGAAGAAACAAAAATAAGAACAAAACAAAACTAAAAACAATGTTCACATTCATGAAAAAACAAAAATGTACAATTAAAAAAAGATTTCAAGCTTGTGGTTATTTTCTGGGACCTACATTTTTGTGGTAGTGTCCACTTCAGGGCATGTCTCTGCTCTCATTGGTAGGCAAAAGATGCAGATAGAGCCCAGATCTGCATTGTATGATCCTGGCAAGTTTGCAGTAGGATTAGGGCAGGCTGCTGTATAATCCCAGCCAGCCCACAGTAGGATTACAGTAGGGCACTGATTCACTCGGCAAAAGTCCAGGCTGATCCTGGTCTCTGCTTGTGGGCCTGTGACCTGGGTTGTTCATCCCACAACACTATGAATGCTTCTTGCCAGCTTAACTTCAGCTCCCTGACTCGGTGTCTCACAGGGCTGTGCCTCACCCAGACACAAAGCCTTGCAATGAAGCCAACCTATGGCTGCTCCAAGTCCCCAGTTTAGCCTCATCCCAAAATGGCATCCAGTAATCACTCTCTCCTGCAGACGTTTGAACTGGAGTCAGCAGCCACTGTGGCCCACAGCATCATCCACTGCTCTGCTTCATTGGTGTGTTTCTCTATGGAGGCTTCCAGGGTTTCCCACTGTCATTGCACCTGTGTAGGCTGGGGACTCTTCTTTCACACGGTGAGCCTGGAGTCAGGGAGAAAGCACAGTTCGCCATCTCCCTCTACCACACTGAGATCTCTCACCTCAGCCTCTCTGTGGGTGCCAATCCTCCCTTCAAAATATTCCTGGGTCTCAAGGATCCACCTCCTTCCTTTTTCTCTTCACCAGGTTGCTATTCTCCAGCAGTGTCTGGTCTCCCAATCTTGGAGAGGTTGATTTGCCACTGCTCACTGGTTCACCATCTTCTCAGAAGTCTCCAGTCTGATATTTTAAGCAAGTTCTGCACGAGATTCACAAGGCAAAAAACAACCTTCAGTATCTGTATATTAGCCGGGGATGGTGCCACATTCTGTAATCCTAACAATCAAGAGACTGAGGCAGGAGCATCACTGTAAATTCAAGGCCAGCCTGTACTATGTAGTGAGACTCTGTCTCAAAAGAAGAAATTGTATGTTAAAGATATAATGAATGTTATACTTTCCTAATTTTTCAAAGATGTCCTTAATACTGTTTTCATTAAACTTTTCTTACAAAAATTATAACTTAGAAAATCAATTAATTTGAATGATACATGATGTCATCCTAAATGAAAGCAGATGCTGTGTTCTAACTCATTTGTCTTTCATTTAGTTTAACCTAGAAAAGAACCCTGAGGACTGTCTTCATTTTCTTCTAATTCTTTCCATTTTAAGCTTAATATAAGAAAAGCTCAGGAAATTTTATCTACTAGAACCATAAACAGTTGAGGAAGTTAATGGTATCACCTCAAAGCCCAGAGTAGTCTTACACATGGATCTTCAGTAATACATGGTAAATGGCTGAAAGCCCAACAGCCTTTAAAATGTATATTTCTTATAGATATTTATTCTTGATCCCCTCATTCAGTTCATATATTCTATTTAGTAAAGAACAAAAGGATCATTTGCCCCCCCATGTTAAGGAAATCTCTGGGATTTGTACGCACACTCTGGACAAGTGTTCTTACTATCCCAGTTGTGTTTATAGATGTTTTTAACTGGCCACCATCCTGTGAGTATGTCACCTTCTATACAAAGGTTAGTGTTCCCTAATAGTTATATATGAAACCCATAGAGAAAGAAGACTCTGGTATAGAACTTTACAGTAACTACCTATTTCTTCTGCTTCTGTGAAGACGCAGAAGAAATTGTACAGAAAGTGACCTCCTGTTTTTCTCTCCTTTCTGGGTTCAAAACACAAGGATAAAAGCAAGATTTGTGTTTTAGAATGTATACACCAGGTTTCCAAGCCTTGTGACCAGAGAGTCTCATCAGCTCAGAGGCTCCTTTGTCCAGAACCAAGGACTCATGCCAGTAAATACTCAACTGTAAAGAGCTAACCTCCCTTCTAAATTTTGTAATTGAAATTTCAAATATTCATGGTGTGAGTTTTAAAGCTTGTGCTGTTATGGGGCTTTGTGAGCATGTCATCATTTATGAAGGTGAAATTAAAGAGCCTGCATATAACAGCTGAAAGGGTGGATGCTGCAAGTTTTATTTGTGTAAATGCTGTCTTGCTGTAAGGGTCTACCTAAAATATCAATGCAGATGTGCAAGATAACACACGCCAGCTTCACTAATCAATCTTATCAAGCTTGTGATTCCTTTCTCTCTTTATTATATTGAATTTGGCTTAGATTCTCCTGTATGTAATCCAAGCCCTGAAAATGCAAAAGTCTTCTGTACTTAAGAGCTGTCTAAACCTAATAATGCTAATCTGTTGTAGAAATATAGCTCAGTTTTCTAATCTATTCCATTTGACATAAATTTAAAAGTCAGTGTCTCTTCATAGTATGATACTTGTTTGTCTTTAAGTTATTAGAAAATCTAAAACTATCAACTGAATGGGAAGGAAGAATTACTTTAACAACCTTCATGACTCTATCAACTGGAAATTATATTGCCTCATGTAATATGCTAGCTAACCCTGTACTGTAAAATTTATGAGAGAAATGAGAATGGGTGGTCATGGGAAAAAAGAGAGCAGTCTCAAGGGAAAGGAATGATAAACTCTTTGAGTGCTTGTGAGGCAATTGTTTAAGTTTATTGATACTAGATGCTTTTAAAGTTGTTTTATATATTATCTTATTTTTATAGTTGTTAAGTTTTTCCCTTGAATTGGATATGGTTTGTACTTTATGACTGACTTGACTGAGAAACATTTTTTATTCATTAAATTTATTGGTACATTTTAGGTATATATTATGATCATATTCACCATTAGTAATTCATACCTATACATGGTATATCTTGATTCTTGTTTTTTCCTCTTTCCCCTTCCTTCCCTTCCACCCCCCACCCCTCCCTATTTACAAAAAAAAAAAACCTTTTGTTTTCATTTTTCCTTCTTCCTTCTTTTCTCATATTTTTTCTTTCCCTTCTTTGTTCACACACCCCCCCCCACCACTTCCCCTTGCCCTTTGGACCTTTTCTTCCTATTTCATATTATCTATTATACATTTTGATACTCATTTACACTTTCAGTTTCTCACACCAGAAAAACTATTTGATATTTACACATGTATTTCCTATTTATTTCACTTAAGAGTATGGCCTCAATGTGCATCCATTTAGCTATAAATGTCTCTTGTTTATCATTCTTTATGGCTGAGTAGTAGTATTCCACTAAAAAAAAAATGGCACATCTTTATCCAGTCACCAGTTGATGGGCATTTGGGCTGTTTCCAAGATTTAGCTATTACAAACTGTGCCACCATAAACACAGGTGTGCATATATTGCTGTGATATGATGCTTTTAATTCTTTTGGGAAGATACCTAGGAGGGAAATAGTTGGGTCAAATGGGACCTCTAATCCTAGCTTTTTGAGGTATCTCCATATTGATTTCCACGGTGGTTGCATCAGTCTACACTTCCACCAACAGTGAAGAAGGGTTCCTTTCTCCCCACATCCCCACCAGAATTTGTTATTGGCTGATTTCTTGTTAGCAGCCATTCTTTCTGGAATGAGATGGAATTTTAGTGTTGTTTTCTTTTGCATCTCTCGAATGACCAGTGATGTTGAACATTTTTTCATATGTTTATTTGTTGTTTTTACTTCTTCATCTGAGAAATGTCTGTCCAGAGAAATACTAGCTTATGAGAATTGTTCAGTTTCTTTACACTATATCTACTTCAAACATACCTGATGATGAGCCAGCTAGGTCACATTAAAAATAGAGATTTCCAAGACTTGTCCCTGGAGATACTATTTAAAGCCTTGAATCCAGAATTCAATAGCTGACAGCTTTTCCTCTAAGGCTAGGAAATAGACAAGGATATATACTCTCACTAATCTATAGTACTAGAAGTCTAGCCAGAAGAGTAAGGCAAGAAAAAGAGATAAAATGCATCCAAATAAAAAAGGAAAAAGTAAAATTGTCTCTATTTGTATATATTAAGAACTTATATAAAGAATACCCTATTGACTCCATCAAATATCTATTGAACTAATAATGAATTCATTTAAATTTCAGAATACAAAATCAAAAAAATCAGCTGCATTTCTATGCACTAACTACAAACTATCTGAAAAAGAAATTAAGAATATACTACTATCTAGAATAATATCAAAAGGAATAATGTATTTACAAATAAATTTAATCAAGGTTGTAAAAGATATGCACACTGAAAATTATGGGATACTGATGGCCTGGACTTCAGCCAATCTAGATTCTACTTGGCCCTTACAGATGTATATTTTTCTGCTCTATAAAAGGGGAGTAATAGGTGCATAGACGAAGTAATAAAAAAGTTATAAGGGACAGAAAGAGGTTTGTTGCTCCTCATTTGTCACTTGTTTCTTGTTCCTTTCTGCCTTCTGCCTGCCATGAACTGTATCTCCTCTGTGATGCCCCTCTGCCATGCTGCCCTGCCTTGGAGCGAGTCAACTATGAAATGAAACCCCTACAAACTGTGAGGCAAATAAGCCTTTCCTTTTAACTTTGGGTGTTGGGTATTCTGTCCCAGCAATGAGAAAAAAAGTAACTAAGACAGAGGTTGAGGAAAAGGATCGGAAATTCAAACCCAGCTTGAGTTACTTAGGAACTTAGTGATACCGTGTCACAAAAATTGTGTGTGCTGGGAATGTAGCACAACTTGAAGGCCCTGGGTTCAATCCATAGTATGATAAATAAATGATATTAATAATAGTAAGATTAAACAGCACTGTCTGGTTCTCAATTACACAGCAGTTGCACTGCTAGAAACAACTGCCAACTCCAAGTCAGCTCCACATTT